TGAATAATGGACAAGTTGATCGCCTAGAAATTTTTACGGCTGAATACAGCTTAGGGAAACGCGACGTTCCAGGTGAAACGAACCTGAACAGGCTGAACAGGATATTTTTCTTCCAGCTCGGCCAGTTGAATAATTACACCCGTTACAGGACACCAGACGAATTTGCGACACTCGATTAGGTTCGCGAGCCGCTCTAAACGAAGCAGTGAATCAGTGACTGCCTAAAGTGGTCTTTAAGCTGATCAATGAGCTCGTCGAGGACCGCTGAAATGGCCTTCGCTGCTCCGAAGGTTAAGATCTCGGATTTTCATTCGTTGGAAAGTAAAATGATAAAGGTTGCATAAATTATTGATCGAAAGACAGACGAATCAGGTTATCGGGAAAGCTTCGAATCTGTCTCGAATGCTAATGGAAGATGTTTAAGAATCACAATATAATTTGGTCAAATAAAAATTGCGAACGATGATGCGATCGATGGTCGTTTGTCATTTTATGAGCAAGCTCGTTCCACGCTAAATAAACCTCTGAGAGCGTCGATGTCACGGCCAATCCTCCGATCTAAAATTAATTCGAATCTCTATTAAAAATTTATTGCAATTTAAAATTTCTACTTAGAAATTAATTAAAAATTCAGTATTATTTAAATTTCTAATACAGATTTGTTACGATTTAAAATTTATATTCAAGCTTCTATTAAGAATTCATTATAATTTGTATGTATGAATTAAAAATTTATTATAACTGATCAAAATCGAATATAATATATTCTATGCAAAATTAGAGCGAGTCGAGTCATTATTTTGCTCGAATTTATTTACAAAATACAGACGTTCGTATACAGATTTTTGCACCTAAAATTAATCCTTTTGTAGATCAGTTTCACCTTTTTACAGATAAAATTAACACTTTCGCAGGCTTTTCGACGCGGCTCATTTCAATAATTACATTCGTAGAAAATGTCATTCGACTTTTATACGTAAATGAATTTAATTTGCAAGAAGATGAATTTCATTTACGAAAAGGCGAAAGAAACCTGCGAAGGAGTTAATTTGATCTGCAAAAAGGTGAATATGATCAATATGATGAATAATAATTTGGAGTCCAAAAAGAAGGATACGATTTGTGAGCACTGATTTTTAAAATAAATTTGAATAACTTTAACACGCTCTTTAATTCTATTATATATATATTATTATATAGATATATATATATAATATATATAATATAATAATATAATATTAATAATGATAATAATATTGTTATTTAGAAGAAGAAGCTATTTATAATTAGAAGTCGTTAATTATTATAATAATAAAATATATAATAATAATATAATAATATATTATATATATATTATATTTAATTATATATATATAATATATCTAGAGATATCTCTATAAGACTTCATCGTTAAAATCGTCTATCACCGTAAATTCGAAAAAAAAGAGAGTAACAAGAAACAAACATGGCGTCTGATATTCTCATTAAACACCTTAAAGGTACTTTTGGACAACCCTGTATGTGCTCGGTCTTCGATACATATGCGCAAGATTACTTAAGCTTCGATTCAGTCGGGAGCCATTGAAATTAACGTCGTAATGAGCTGTTAAAGGTCGCGTGCGCCCTATTTCAAACAATAAGCCCCACGCTGCGCACTATGGTCGACCGTTCGCGTTGCTTGTGCCGCCCCATATTATCTCCGGTGCGGTCTGAAAACAATGTTGACAGGTAACGCGCTAGTTTCAGCGGTCTCATTTACACCTGTTCCCATTTTCACGGGCGATCCATGACCGCAAACGTCGCTTTCCCGCGGAACAGTAACATTATTACTGCACGGGCTCTTTGTCGTTTCAACAAACCTCCATTCAAGCAATTGAAGAAGATTCGAAGCTATTCCGAGACAACCTAATGCGATCGTAAGTTCGTCTTATAATAACTTCGTCGTAATAAAGTCTACGTCGCTAATTATGTTATAATTATATTATTATAAATAATATAATAAGTAACTAATTATATTATAAGTTCGATGGTTGGTTTATTTACAGAAATGTACAATGCATAATTTCTCACAGGACGTGATAATGCTCGACCACACATTCTCCTGGAACTGTGATACGTTTAATTAACTCTTCAAAGTTATCAGTTCCAAGCTTATCGAAAGCTTTAAATCGCGAGTTCGCGTTACAAAGTATTATTATTACTAGACTGCGGATCTTTATGCGACAGAAAAATGTTGCGAAAAGATAGGAGTAACGTAGAAATTGTATTTTTTATCTGTGATGATTTTATTAGGTCAGAATTAGTATATCGACGTTATTAATAATTAATATAAATATATATATATACAATTATATTATAATATAATATAATATAATATTATAATATAATATAATATAATATTATAATATAATATAATATAATATTATTATATTATTATAATATATATATATATAATCATAATTAATTAATTAATTAAAAATTATACTATTCTAGTTTCTCTACCATTTCGCATTACATATACTAATTTCTTTTTATCGTAAATGCATAAAATCCGCAGGCTAATTATTGGACACAGTTCTTAAACAACTTCTCAGTCATCTCTGTCGATTGGAAAGTGTCTTGACAGAATTGTTCATTTCAAGGTAGAGGCACTTTTCACTGGCCAATAATACAATCGGAGTCAGCCAGAATTTAGAATTGTTTCGAATAAATGTTTATCCAAGATAATAATTCGATTGAATTCTTTTTAGTCGAATATTTTATTCGTCGGAAATTATTCTGTTTAGCTATTCGAATAATTTTATAATCTCTGTTCGAATAATCAATTCGAATAATTCTTTATTATGTAATTTATTATATAAATCTTTATTCGAACAATAATGCGAACAATTCTTGACCGTTTTCGTTTCAATGAAATTTTATAAGGAAGATTTTTATTCGAATCGAATATTTTCCGTACGAATTCCTCTACGAATAAATTCTTATTCGAATGAGATCTTATTCGGATTTATTCGACAGTGACGAATAAAATTTTATTCGTCAGTCTTTGTCTCTTATCCGTCATAAAGTTCGAATAAAATTTTGCCCAACAACACTTGAGTACAACACTTGAAACAACCGGCAGAAACAGTCGTATTATTAATACCGCATCGCGATAAGAGGGAATTAATTTCTGCTGAAAAAATACGATTCCCAATCCGTGTAATTCAAGCAATTCTCCAAAATTGTTACCGCATGCGTTGAAGGTTATCCAAATTCCACGAGATTATTACGAACCACAAGATTAGATAAAAAAAGACAGACAAAGCTTGAGATATTTCTCTCAGCAAATTACAATGCATCAATCGTCGCACAACGCGCAATTTCGTTTTAACCTTCGTTTCTTCGACAAATTTTTTCAATTCAACATGTTCTTCTTGCGATGGCATCAGAAAATTGCCCCAAATTTTTATTTGTTAATATAAATANATAATATAATATAATATTATTATATTATTATAATATATATATATATAATCATAATTAATTAATTAATTAAAAATTATACTATTCTAGTTTCTCTACCATTTCGCATTACATATACTAATTTCTTTTTATCGTAAATGCATAAAATCCGCAGGCTAATTATTGGACACAGTTCTTAAACAACTTCTCAGTCATCTCTGTCGATTGGAAAGTGTCTTGACAGAATTGTTCATTTCAAGGTAGAGGCACTTTTCACTGGCCAATAATACAATCGGAGTCAGCCAGAATTTAGAATTGTTTCGAATAAATGTTTATCCAAGATAATAATTCGATTGAATTCTTTTTAGTCGAATATTTTATTCGTCGGAAATTATTCTGTTTAGCTATTCGAATAATTTTATAATCTCTGTTCGAATAATCAATTCGAATAATTCTTTATTATGTAATTTATTATATAAATCTTTATTCGAACAATAATGCGAACAATTCTTGACCGTTTTCGTTTCAATGAAATTTTATAAGGAAGATTTTTATTCGAATCGAATATTTTCCGTACGAATTCCTCTACGAATAAATTCTTATTCGAATGAGATCTTATTCGGATTTATTCGACAGTGACGAATAAAATTTTATTCGTCAGTCTTTGTCTCTTATCCGTCATAAAGTTCGAATAAAATTTTGCCCAACAACACTTGAGTACAACACTTGAAACAACCGGCAGAAACAGTCGTATTATTAATACCGCATCGCGATAAGAGGGAATTAATTTCTGCTGAAAAAATACGATTCCCAATCCGTGTAATTCAAGCAATTCTCCAAAATTGTTACCGCATGCGTTGAAGGTTATCCAAATTCCACGAGATTATTACGAACCACAAGATTAGATAAAAAAAGACAGACAAAGCTTGAGATATTTCTCTCAGCAAATTACAATGCATCAATCGTCGCACAACGCGCAATTTCGTTTTAACCTTCGTTTCTTCGACAAATTTTTTCAATTCAACATGTTCTTCTTGCGATGGCATCAGAAAATTGCCCCAAATTTTTATTTGTTAATATAAATATATAAATATTATAATATATATATTTATAATAATATAATAATATAATTAATATATATATATATATATAAATATTATAATAATTAATTTATTTGTTACGTCCACACTAGCATTTCGAACATTTAAATGAATGCACAACGATTGCTGACACTTTGGGGAATAGAAATTCTTAGTTATTTGGTTGGATCAATGTCCAAATCCGTTAAAAAAGATAGAAACAACGACCGGTGAGTATTCGTGGGGTTTCAACAATATTTACAACATTTCCTTACATTTTACCAATTTGCATATATTACACGTAAATGGATAAAGAACCATGCTAATAAATCTCTCTTGCCTAGGACCAAGAAAATAAATAAACAATGAGACTAGTTAGAACATAAAAATTGTCCCGTTGCATCGCGTGCATTTTGCATCGTGTCGAGCTTTATCCATCGATAAATTTCTAGTGCAAGAGGTTAAATAAAAAGAGAATTAATCTTAACACTATTTTATTTAATCTCTTTTATTTGTATTTTTCTTTTTTTAGTTATTCCGCGATCGATATCAGTGCTGCTGTGTATTGTTCATTTTGTCATAGTTTATCGACTACGTCGATTTATAGACCGATAAAATCTACGATAAAGATGCGTTTGCACTGCGTAACTGATTTTCAAAGAAACGTGAATTTGCGCTTCGATTGACCGTGTTTACAAGCTAGAAACTTGAAGAAATGCCGGTATCGAAATCATAAAAAATCGTTTTGCGTCCCTGTTCCCATTCTCGTCGAGAGCAACCGATTAACTGTAACTTAATCGATTTCCTTCGTTCCCGTTCGCTTCAGCTTAAGAAACCAGCAAACAGGATCAACGCTGGTAAACGGTTTCCCAAATTGTAAAATTCTTCGGTCGCGCAACTAGGCTACGTTTAGGTTCGAGCTGTGATAATAGAAGCTAGAAAAGCGTCGTGTCGATCGAAGCGTCGATGGAAAGCTGCTGGAAAATATCTTCGGAATGTTCATGGTGGAGCTGTGCGATAATACAGTACAGTTTCAGTCGTTTAAGGTTTTTCCAAACTTACAAATACATAAATGCTTCCGCAGAAGAATCGCTCATAACTCTTATGCTTAATACTATACTCACTATACTTACTTACAGTATACTTGGAAGATATCTAATTGCAGATTTCGAACGCACTTTCGATCGGAAAGTGCCAGAAAATCGGGGCGTCGAAAATCTGCGATTTTCGCGATCTTCAATTATTCGTAATTCCACACAACAACGTCAATCGATTTCGATGAAATTATCAGTATCAATAATTTCCTTAATTTCCTTTATAGGTTCGCATAAAAAAGTTAAGAAACGAGAATGTTCTCATTCTCTTTCGTCGTTCCAAGTAACAGCAATATTTAAGAAAGCACCCTAGTCATTGCCTAACAGACTAACAGTCCTTCTATCTCCTAAAAAAAAGAAGAATTCAAGTCGTTTAGTCCAGTTCTAAAAAGGCGACACTGTTCCAAAAGGTGTCCACGGTATATTTGTCCCCCACTGTATTCGATCTAATCGCAAGCTTCCGACATGAACGCGCCCTTGTTGAAACCGTAACGGCCATAATCGAGCAAAGGTTACACATAGCCGTTCGCGTTCAGTTTCAACGCGGTCTCGTAAGAAGGCAGACCCTCGTCGACGCCGAGGGTTTCTTGTTCCGTGGACTCGTTTTGTTCCGGGGATCTCACGGGTGTAGCCGATAGCCCGAGAAGCGTCGACACCATGGCTGGAATGATGGTGCCAGGTGTATCCGGACCGTCGAACTTCTTCTCGATGCTGGCCGGCAGGCTGCGATGATCGAAGATCAAGCTGTCGTAGGTTGGCGGCGGTCCTGGACCAGAGCCCGGGGTCACAGGGCACGATTGGAGACCGTACACGCTGTCCTCTTGGTTTCCGTCTATGGCTGATTGTCGCTCGCAGCACTGAACAACGAAAATCATTTTTGGTTAAGTGCCTCGCGGCCATCGAAGTTGTGCCGGGAATTTAACCCTTTGCACTATAACTACGCTTATTAGCCTATATACTACCCTATACAACTCTCTGTAACAAGTCATTTAAATCGATCCAGTCATCTTCGGAACCGTCGATGATACTAAAAAACGTTTCGAACGAAATTTGAATGATTTTAGGGGGATCTGATGTTAATAAGATTTTTGTAGACGAACGCGTCAGACCAAAAATGTCTCGCAATCCGGAAATAGCGGGTTCCTCGGATCATTTGAAGCAACTTCTTCCTTTACAAAAATGTTCTCCGAGGCACCGTTAACGAGTTATTATCGAAAAAACAGTGACCAATAAGAATCGAGTACGGCTGACGCGAGGCGGCCCAGCCAACCAGCGCACGAAGCCCAGTTCCGCTCATTGGCTCGGTCGCCTCGCGCCAGCTGAGCTCGCCTCTCGTTAGTCACTGTTTTTCGTTAATAACTCGTTAACCTGTCTCTTATACACATCTCGAAAAACAGTGACCAACGAGAGGTGAGCTCAGCTGGCGCGAGGCGACCGAGCCAATGAGCGGAACTGGGCTTCGTGCGCTGGTTGGCTGGGCCGCCTCGCGTCAGCCGTACTCGATTCTTATTGGTCACTGTTTTTTCGTTAATAACTCGTTAACCTGTCTCTTATACACATCTCGAAAAACAGTGACCAACGAGAGGTGAGCTCAGCTGGCGCGAGGCGACCGAGCCAATGAGCGGAACTGGGCTTCGTGCGCTGGTTGGCTGGGCCGCCTCGCGTCAGCCGTACTCGATTCTTATTGGTCACTGTTTTTTCGTTAATAACTCGTTAACCTGTCTCTTATACACATCTCGAAAAACAGTGACCAACGAGAGGTGAGCTCAGCTGGCGCGAGGCGACCGAGCCAATGAGCGGAACTGGGCTTCGTGCGCTGGTTGGCTGGGCCGCCTCGCGTCAGCCGTACTCGATTCTTATTGGTCACTGTTTTTTCGTTAATAACTCGTTAACCTGTCTCTTATACACATCTCGAAAAACAGTGACCAACGAGAGGTGAGCTCAGCTGGCGCGAGGCGACCGAGCCAATGAGCGGAACTGGGCTTCGTGCGCTGGTTGGCTGGGCCGCCTCGCGTCAGCCGTACTCGATTCTTATTGGTCACTGTTTTTTCGTTAATAACTCGTTAACCTGTCTCTTATACACATCTCGAAAAACAGTGACCAACGAGAGGTGAGCTCAGCTGGCGCGAGGCGACCGAGCCAATGAGCGGAACTGGGCTTCGTGCGCTGGTTGGCTGGGCCGCCTCGCGTCAGCCGTACTCGATTCTTATTGGTCACTGTTTTTTCGTTAATAACTCGTTAACCTGTCTCTTATACACATCTCGAAAAACAGTGACCAACGAGAGGTGAGCTCAGCTGGCGCGAGGCGACCGAGCCAATGAGCGGAACTGGGCTTCGTGCGCTGGTTGGCTGGGCCGCCTCGCGTCAGCCGTACTCGATTCTTATTGGTCACTGTTTTTTCGTTAATAACTCGTTAACCTGTCTCTTATACACATCTCGAAAAACAGTGACCAACGAGAGGTGAGCTCAGCTGGCGCGAGGCGACCGAGCCAATGAGCGGAACTGGGCTTCGTGCGCTGGTTGGCTGGGCCGCCTCGCGTCAGCCGTACTCGATTCTTATTGGTCACTGTTTTTTCGTTAATAACTCGTTAACCTGTCTCTTATACACATCTCGAAAAACAGTGACCAACGAGAGGTGAGCTCAGCTGGCGCGAGGCGACCGAGCCAATGAGCGGAACTGGGCTTCGTGCGCTGGTTGGCTGGGCCGCCTCGCGTCAGCCGTACTCGATTCTTATTGGTCACTGTTTTTTCGTTAATAACTCGTTAACCTGTCTCTTATACACATCTCGAAAAACAGTGACCAACGAGAGGTGAGCTCAGCTGGCGCGAGGCGACCGAGCCAATGAGCGGAACTGGGCTTCGTGCGCTGGTTGGCTGGGCCGCCTCGCGTCAGCCGTACTCGATTCTTATTGGTCACTGTTTTTTCGTTAATAACTCGTTAACCTGTCTCTTATACACATCTCGAAAAACAGTGACCAACGAGAGGTGAGCTCAGCTGGCGCGAGGCGACCGAGCCAATGAGCGGAACTGGGCTTCGTGCGCTGGTTGGCTGGGCCGCCTCGCGTCAGCCGTACTCGATTCTTATTGGTCACTGTTTTTTCGTTAATAACTCGTTAACCTGTCTCTTATACACATCTCGAAAAACAGTGACCAACGAGAGGTGAGCTCAGCTGGCGCGAGGCGACCGAGCCAATGAGCGGAACTGGGCTTCGTGCGCTGGTTGGCTGGGCCGCCTCGCGTCAGCCGTACTCGATTCTTATTGGTCACTGTTTTTTCGTTAATAACTCGTTAACCTGTCTCTTATACACATCTCGAAAAACAGTGACCAACGAGAGGTGAGCTCAGCTGGCGCGAGGCGACCGAGCCAATGAGCGGAACTGGGCTTCGTGCGCTGGTTGGCTGGGCCGCCTCGCGTCAGCCGTACTCGATTCTTATTGGTCACTGTTTTTTCGTTAATAACTCGTTAACGGTGCCTCGGAGAACATTTTTGTAAAGGAAAAAGTTGCTTCAAATGACCCGAGGAACCCGCCACTTTCGGACTGCGAGACATCTTTGGGACACCCTGTATAGGTCAACTTTATTTTTTAAACCGAAATCATAGATTTCTTTTCTAGTTGCTGTCTAGTAGACTGTACCCTCTGTCATCTGAAAGAAAATTCGAGTCCGCTTCGAAGAAAGTTACTGCTCGTCGAAATGTGTCCGAATGTTAACGTTGGTCGCCGTTATGCTATCCAAGAACGAAGCAGGCGAATGTTTTCGAAGACGAGGGAGATATTCGAAGAATATTTGAACTCGGCCGAAGGAACGGGCCGAGTTTAATGACGCGGAAGATAACTAGAGGAGCTGAACTTCCGTACGATAATATCGAAGGAAAACTTTGCGGGCAGAGAGAATAGATATAAAAGGCGTATATAAAGCGACCAGGCAGGAATTCCAAGACGAGGCTAATAGCTTAGCACTCGGCCGTTCACTTGCCACTAGCCTAACAGGATCTCGCCGCGGCTGATACATTTCATTATCCGGGCTCGCATCGCTAGGATGCCGCTTGTTAAACATTATTAAGGAACTGGATCCATGCGTTATCGCAGCCCGAAGCTGAGGAGGCCTGGTGATAAGTTGCGCCATGTCCGAGAGCAGTGTAAAAGGAAGCACCGTGATCAGTCATACTAATTTTCCTCTACAACCGCAAACGTTTTCGCCGCAATTGATATCAATACGTGGAGCAGCGAGCCAGTTAACAGGAAAACGATGCGTTCAAAACCGCACCGCTGCGCTAGTATTTTGCATGCGATACGGGATGATTAGAGATATTGACGTTGTACAGGGTGTCCGTTTGATTACGTTCCATCGAAATATCACGGACTGTTCACGCTTGATTGCTGGGGCGAGTTAATTTGACACATTTACGATTTTATTGCATATTGCATATTATTATATATATAATATATAATATATTACATATAAATAATTATTATATAATAATTAATAATTATATAAATAATATTGTATATAATATAAATTATATATAATAATTGTTATATATAATTATAATAATTATTAATATTATTAATATATATAAAAATGATTTAAGTTTATATATATATAAACTTAAATAATTTGTTTTTAAACATACGTTGGTCTTTAATAGAATTATGACCAACATATGCTTCAAATAACCAAGATATGTTTCAAAAAACATTATTTTTATCTTTTTCTATATATAGATAGCAGTAAAATCGTAAACGAGTCAAATTGACTTGCTCCGGCAATCTAATATTAATTAACAAAAAAGTTACTCGATTTCAAGGGTGAAATACAACTATTTGATTTATCTTTCTTCCTGATCGCTTTGAAAATTATTTGAACGCGAATTATGATCATCCGTTAGAGCATGCTTTACATGTCCAAACAGTTTTAACAGTTTTCCCGGAAAAGTGTTGCTTTCGAGATTCATCGGATCTGAAGTTTTTAAAGGAACACACTGTACATGCCGTTGCCGTTGGCGAACAGGTTTCGTTCAGATCATGATTCGCAGATACTCAGATACTGTTTCCTTCTTCTTCGTAAAAAGAAAGTATAAACGTGTCCTTGCGCTATATATTCGAACCGTTTCCAGCATCGTTTCGAGGATTTCTATTTGTTCAATGGTGCCCGAGAAATCGATGAATACGTTCGTTAGGGTTTGCCTCTAATCAGTTCCAAGATATACGGACTTCAAGATGACAGGATCCCAGCGGTGATAAAGATAACCAGTTTGCAAACGGGGAAAAAAAAGATTTCGCAGAGGAAAAACAGAGTTGCAATGAATTCGCATAAATTCTAAGCATTACGTCCGTCTAGACCACTGGCTTGTCGGTGAAATATAAAGATCGTCGTCCTCTCGGACTAACTGATTCAGATCCGACACGGTAATAGAGTCCTGTCTGAACCTATAATTTTGGTATGTCGCTGTTCCCCGTTTCCGTGCAAAAAGTCGTGATGCTGCAAGGTTAGGATACCAAGGCTAAATTGATACTATTGCACCATTCGAATTATCGGCGTTATCGATTCCAAATATCAGACCTTTGGAAGCTCTTATTACAGTAATTTCTCCCGGAAATGCCAAATATCGGGTTGCCGTGAATTTCCCTGTGCTAGTCCTGCGCCTATGCAATTTATTGCTACATCGATGCAGAGGGTTGTCGAAATCGGTCAGGCGTGCGATGCGGCACGCGACGCGATTCACGGAAGACAATGCAAAATAATGGTCTGTTTGCGGGTATGAGTTTCTATAGACTAATTACGATCGTATTACTCCCCCCTCCCCCGGCAATCATTTTCTATAAAGATTGCTTCTTAAAGTGGCCTTTTGTTCGTATGACAATGTAAACAAGCTGCGCCTTATTAAACTAACGTTTGATCTTCCTAATACGGTAAATTCTCCCCAATTGACGCTCAGATTGCGCACAAAGATGGACAATTTGGAAAGAAGAGACGCGATTGCACCTTGCGCCACGTTTTTATAATTGTCGACAATCGGCAACTATAAAAATGAATAATCGTATCTCCTCTTCCCAAATGGTCCATTTTTTTTTATACAATCCGAGCGCTCGAAATTAATCTCCCGCTGAACTTTCCGATTAATAAATATAATTAAATAAAAAGAAATAAAAATATTTTCCTAAATACGACCATTCAGACATTTTAACACGTACACACAGTTTCGAATGGATACGAAGCAGTGATTTTCTGAAATTTTGCTCATCGACGGCCGCACTGTGCTTTCTTCCCCCAAAAGGCTTGCAAGCAATTTCAATCGCATTTTCGCAATTTCGTTGTTCCTCTCTTCGTCTTAACCTTTCGTCCGCTACCGTAAAAACGGAACAAATTATTGCCATAACGCTATCTAGAGAAGCTCCTTTCGAAAAAGCAGTCTGCATTTTTTTACGGTTCTTGCTGCGCAGCTTGTAATGATGTAAGACGGATCGCGTACGTGAGCGACCTGGCCAGAAACGTCGTACCGATCAGACGGAGAAAACGAGACGCGCATGATTACGTTGCTCGCGAAATAAGTATGAATTATTAGGTCCGTTAATGTCGACTCACCGCGGCGTGTGCTTCCGTGGTGAATACTTCCAGGCTGTGCACGTCCGGCTCCGGCCTCCAGTATTGCTGGCATTCCTGCGGCCGGTTCTTTCTGATGCTCTTATGACAGCAATAGCACATCAATGCGACGACTATAATCACGGCGCTTAGCATCGCTCTGAAAAACACGGCGCGCCACGCGATCCGGAGCATAGGTGAGAGACCGGGCGTATATTTAGCGCGCGTCAACCAACCGCGAGCCCGAGACGCTCCACATAATATTATTGAGCCTCAGTCTGCCGTGATATCGGTCTATAAAGCACGGCTTTACTACGGGACGCCGGGAATTTACGCGGACGACGACGTTTCCACCGTCTCGACCCTTGTTCGGTGCACCCGAAGTGTGATCTGCTGTTGGGGGGTGGCTTTCGAATCGAACGATAACGCGGTACATACTTCCGACACACGCTCCGACGACGTCTCTCTTGGAGAAAGTTGCCACGCACGTACCACCGATTCCATAAATACCACTCCGTAAATTGATTTGTTGTTGTTGCACCGCGGATTTACAAGACGCGCAGATTTTGGAAGACCGAAACGCGGACATTTGCGGCAGCCTTCCGCGTAACGCGCGTTTCTACGGTCGGCGACAAGAAGACGAGACGCTCTATTAATTTGCCGCAATTTTGATTTGATTATGATCGTTTTTGGAACGTTTTGGTTTATAAGTTTTAGCCCGGTGAACCGAAATATTAATACTCGATAGGATTCTGTTTGGAAGAACGTTAACATTTGATGCAAGTACCGGGACAAAATGATAAGACGTGCGCGGTTAAAATGGAATTTGCAACGTGAATTTACCAGTTTTGAACAGTATTTAATTACTTTGTAGAGCCTTCTTTATTTTTAATAAATCGTCTCATTACACGAGCTATTTTCTAATCTACTATTTATTTCGTATTTCGTTTCTTAACCATTTTTCATACGTTGAAAGTAATATCAACAGCATCTTAAAATTCTTTGAATATCTTTGCTGTTCTGCATTCGATCTATCCATTTTCTCCGTAAACGCATAAAATCCACGGTTTCGTTATTATTTATTATGTGTAGGGTTTTATTAAGAGGTTGAATATTTTGAGGGTCGATGAAGAGATAAAATTAAATCGAAGAGATAGTTTCGATGAACACGGATTGAACAATTTATATTTACGATTATAATTCTGTTTGATCCACTTATATTTATAGCACTGAACGTGTTAATATAGCCCGATTTATCTTTCTTTATCTCGAGGCTTAAGTTCGAGATGTTACAGACATTCTCGAGACGTTAATTTACCACTCTTTAAAAGAAACGTGCTTAATTTCCTCAATGACCGAAAATTGCGTAAGTGGCAACGATTCTGGCAACATTCTCCCAAGCTGAATACATATGAGAAACGACTTTGTAAATATTTAACACTGATATTGAGATATCTATTGTTGACAATATTAAACACTGATATTGAGATATCTGTTGTTGACAATATTAAACACTGATATTGAGATATCTATTGTTGACACTATTAAACACACATTGAGATTCGCGAAATCTTCTAAAAAGGGTCTCAAGCTTCAAGAATCGTTTGATCGTAGAAAACGAGTTAACATTATTATTCGTGATCGCACAGTTGTTCTTCGGTAACTGTTTGTTTATATTTTCTCTTTATTTCAACTAGTAATATTTCACTTTGTTGTGCCATAATATGTCTATATTCCATTAACTCTTCATATTCTGTTTGCGTTGATTGTGTTTCATCAGATTCATTTGTCTTCATTTGTGTAACCGGGTTAACAAATTGTCGTTTAAATTTAGAAATCGATTTATTAGAACAGTTAAATTTACTTATTAATTTATTATCAATTTATGCGCGAACGTTTCAAGTTTATAGATAAATGCATCGGATCCGTAGTATACTAATAAAAGATTGTTTTATCTAATGAACGCTTAAAAATGTTTTCTCAAGAATATCTTCAAAATTCAATGTCAATAATATACGAAATATATACAATATAGTATATACGTAGATTTATTTCTTCTTGGCAATATTATGCAAAAGCAAACGGTTCTTATTTGTTCATACGAAATGTACTTTGAGCGGAAAAATATACACTAACCGACCAAAGTTAAGAAACATATGACAATTCTTTACAATGTTTTACTCCTATATTTTATTCTTTTTTATTCACTTCTGTTTACTATATTTATTTTATTCCTCGCGTGCACTAAATAAAACGATTTTGCAATATTTTGCAATACAGTGCTTTGTATACTTCACTGTAACATGTGCTTCGAATTTAATAAGACGTATATATTTGGTTGAAATAATAAAGATATTACCGAAACGTTAACGATATAACGTAAGATTTCTTAACTTTCGTCGGCGGGTTCGCAAACGCGATCAATGTTTGCACCGACCTATAAAATTGGTATCCGTTGAAGACAGAGCGGCGGGCATTATTGGTATCGAAATTTCTGAATTTGAATATTATTTCCATTTGAAACTTGATCCCTTATCCCTAAAATAGTTTTCAATACGGTACAGACACGAGAAGAAGCTACGGCCTTTTACTTTCGACTAGACTGTACGAAATCGCTGGCACGAGATGCTGCACAGGAACCAGAGAACCTGCTCACGGATCGTCGGTTTGCCCAGGTAATGTTTGCGCTTCTAAATTAGCCTAGAGTCGGGCGAACTAGCGATTTGTATACCCGTTATTTACGACACCGCGCGTATTAACGGATTAAAGTTTACCGTAACTCAATTGTTCTTTCGGCGATCGCGGTGGATGCCACAAGGCAAGCGTGTCGCCGGTGACTTTCGAGCCACCGGGTAATAATTACTCGATCCGCGATTTTTCTCTTCGACGAGCAAACGAACCGCAAAGCTACGCGGCTCTCTATCTCTCTCGCAAATCTCTAGGCATTCTTCCGGATTTTATGATTGACTGTACGGTAAGCCGCAAAACCCGAACGAACACACGACATTTCGACAGAAATAATTGTTTATTCAACGTTCCCGGGTAGAATGCAAAAGGAACAAAATGTACTTCGCGGCGTTGTCTACGATCTTTCCGGCTTTTCAAAGCAAATTTAACATTCGCGATATCGTTATTATCTCGCTTCGTTACAGTTTTGGTTTCGCGTAGTCGGTTTTGCGTGGCAACGAATTCACAGTAAACATTTCAGTATCTCCGGTGCACTTAATATTTCGACCATAAATCTTCAACCTTGCCAATTGCTTGAATACGTTTTAGACGTATGCGTGTATTCGGTTCTGTATGGCGTGTTCGTGTAAAAATGTTAACATGTATAAAACGTTTTAAGTGGAATATTAAATATAGGGTGTTCAAGTTGAAAAAGCCATAACCGGAACCAAAATCAGCCAGAATCGATGTATGTATTTATCCGAAAAAGTTATAACATTTTTTCGGTTCCCATAACTGCCTCAATTCAGAACCGATGTACAGGGTGACCCATTTAAATCGATCCAGTCGATTATATTCGAGACCGTCGATGATGCTAAAGAAATGTTTCAAACGAAATTTGAATGATTTTAGAGGGCACGTAATCTGATAAGATTTTTGTAGGCGAACGCGTCGAGGACGGAATCATATCTTTTCCTTTTTATTATACTAGTTTTATTATACCCGTCATTCTCTTCGTAAAAGATACTAAGGCATTCGTTGCGAAAACTCACTGGTTTCGAAAATATTTGAATTTTAGTATCTTTTAGAGACCACGTTAGTCTTTGCATTCAGGCCGAAGGTCGCATTTTCGAACACCCACTTTAGATAGGCGCGAGCGCTAGCATTATGCGTTATTGAAATGCAAATATCTTCTAAACCGATGTTCTTTCGCAATAAATGCCTTAGTATTTTTACGAAGAGAACGACGAGCTGAATCGACTGGTATAATAAAAAATATATGATTCCATCTAAAAAAATAAAGTTGACCTTTATACGTCCTCGACGCGTTCGCCTAGAAAATTCTTATTAACATCAGATCACGCGCCCTTTAAAACCATTCAAATTTCGTTTGAAACATTTTTTAGCATCATCAAAGGCTTCGAAGATATTTGACTGGATCGATTCGACATATTGGGTGCCGAATATTAACGCAAAAAATTCAGACAATATCGAAGGAAATATTATATTAAATACCACAGAAAATATTGGTTCAGCTATTTTGTATTTTACAAAATCCTAATAACCTAGTTTATTATTATTATTAACCCAGTATGTTTTAAATCCTAAAATCCTAGTACATTCAATTTCTTCAATATATTAATGATATAAATGATACGATATGATATTATGATATTAATGATATAATGAAATATATTAATGATATATATATAAATGAACAATCGAAAATCCAGTTCAAAATCAGCGTCACCCATACGCGACTCTCGCGGCATTAAACGTATTAAATGGTCCACCCCGTACGATCGTTTGGAACAAGTCGTCGTCGAAACGTCGTTTCAACCCCTGCTCTCAGATTCATCGAGCTCTCCCGAACGTCGCGTTCCCCAAGCAAACGCGCTCGCGATAAAAGAGACTGGGGGCCAGCAGGTCTACCTTATCTCCTCTTTCTTTAGCTTCGCTTTGCTTCGCAGGAAAGGTCGCCGCAGAAATTCCACGGATAGCGATTGAGACAGAAAAAGAAACCGGTTCCGATGTGTTCGGCGTCTGAACCACCACTAATGCGCGCGGGAGCTCTCGAAGCCGGCGATTACGCTCGCACGATCGATATACGTGTATCGGCAGGGCCGAGAATCGGTTAGGATGTCCACTCACCCGCCCAGAAGAACGTTGACATTTCCATGGAGATCCGTCTCGAAATGGCTCGTCTTGCTGGCCGTGCCGCTCGACGACGTGGTGACGTTGTATCCCGGCAAGATCACCACCTCCTCGTTGGCACCCGTGCCGTTCCGTTTGTGCATACCGAGTTCCGTCGCCGTCAACACCGTCATATGCCTCCCATAGGTCATCCTGAAACGTTCGTCCCCATCGTTCCCCGTTACCCGCCGCTCTCAACGAATTTTTTCTCGGAGGGATCGAAAATGTTCGATAGAGAACCGTTTTGCAAACTGTTGCACGAAATTGGCTCCAATTGAAACGCTTATGGCGAACCGTAAAAATCGCAGAACTAAACTGTGGAGCTTTCTGTAAAATGGAAATCGTCTTCGTCGATTTGCCGAAGATACGAGTCGAATAGAAATTTTTGTCTTTCTTAAGTGATTTCGGCGAGTTGAAAATCGTGTACAGATGTCCTTGAATTCTTTTAACCCCTTGACATACCATGTTCTCCGCAGTTACTGCGATCAGAAGTTTTTCGATTGCAATAGTTTCTTGAAAGGGAAAGAAAATTGATGCTTATCTTGCGCCTGAATTTACTTGAATGCTTAAATATCGACGACAAGAGATTCGAATTTTATGACAATTTTAAAGAACAGAATAGCACGAGTCGAATAGAAATTTTTGTTTTTCTTAAGTGATTTCGGCGAGTTGAAAATCGTGCACAGATGTCCTTAAATTCTTTCAACCCCTTGACATACCATGTTCTCCGCAGTTACTGCGATCAGAAGTTTTTCGATTGCAATAGTTTCTTGAAAAGGAAAGAGAATTGATGCTTATAGTGTGCCTGAATTTACTCGAATGCTTAAATATCGATGACAAGAGATTCGAATTTTATGCCAATTTTAAAGAACAGAATAGCACACACATACACACCTATACCGAATGAATTATCAATAGAAATTTTCACGACGAGTTGGACTCGTCAAAGTACAGCAAGGGGTTAATGCTCTCGTTGCTTAAATTTCGCCTGTCCATTTTTTGTTTCGAAGCTGGTGAACAATTGCAGAGAATTTACCGTGCTTTTTACCTTATTAGGGAGTCCAAGGAAACCTTTTCCACTCACCTTCCACTTTATCGACCCCGTCCTTGTTAGACGAAAGTCACTCCTAAAACTAGCACGGACCACCCTCCTTACCTTTTTGTCCGTGGATTCGCGTCCCGGGACATTTCCAAACGTTGCGTGAACCGTGACATCGTGTTCTTATAGCGACGCTAAAGACGATGCATCCCCGGCGAATTGCATCGAACTATTCGACATTCAATCCTCCTGGGTACGCTCGGCCGAAACGCTCGTCTCTTTCGCATCCCTCTGCCTGCGCAATTCACATTTTTCTTTCTTAATTATCCATTTTCGTGGACAATCTGAGCGACAGTAAGGGAGACATTAAGGGAGACCACAAAAATGGACAATTTGGGAAGCGGGAATACGATTATTCGAGCCTTGCAGTTTATTTTTATAGTTATAAATTGTCCACAATTATAAAAACGAGCCGCAAGGTTCGAATAATCGCGTCTCGTCTTCCCAAATCGTCCATTTTCGTGGACAATCTGAGCGTCAGTAAGGGAGACATTACTGTAATACGAAATACACTAATGTTTCTCTAATTGACGCCCAGATTGACCACAAAAATGGACAATTTGGGAAGCGGAGATACGATTATTCGAGCCTTGCAGTTTATTTTTATAGTTATAAATTGTCCACAATTATAAAAACGAGCCGCAAGGTTCGAATAATCGCGTCTCGTCTTCCCAAATCGACCATTTTCGTGGACAATCTGAGCGACAGTAAGGGAGACATTACTGTAATACGAAATACAGTAATGTCTCTCTAATTGACGCCCAGATTGACCACAAAAATGGACAATTTGGGAAGCGGAGATACGATTATTCGAGCCTTGCAGTTTATTTTTATAGTTATAAATTGTCCACAATTATAAAAACGAGGTGCAAGACTCGAATAATCGTGTTTCCTTTTACCAAATTATCCATTTTAGTGGACAATTTTGGAAGCGGAGATACGATTATTCAAGCCTTGCAGTTTATTGTTATAGTTATAAATTGTCCACAATTATAAAAACGAGGCGCAAGACTCGAATAATCGTGTCTCCTCTTCCCAGATTGTCCATTTTCGTGGACAATCCGAGCGTCAGTAAGGGAGACATTACTGTACCTTCTGCAAAGTTTCTACGATCTTGGCAAACGCTATTCGAGTGGGCTAAACCAATGGCCTATCGTTATAATTAGAATTGTGAAAAAATGATAAATAATTGTGAAAATGATATATTACAGTGATTCTGTATTCCTAAAATTCTAATTCTATATTTTCGTTATTTTTACTGATATAAAAGATATGTCTGGACAACATTATTTAGTTCAATGAAGTAAGAAGGTTACTTTTCTTCACGTATTAAAGACCATGACTATTTTTTGCACATCGACCCCAATTTTATAGAACGCAGCACTGTGGTACACGTCGTGACCTTCGATAGTTGAGAAAAATGACCTCGACCATTTTTCTTTACAATCTTTAAACAATAGCAGCCGTTACATTATATCGTATTTGATAAAAAAAGAAAGACAAAAGCATCCACCGTTTCATGCGATGTAATACGATTTTCCATGTTTAATGATCATATTATGATGCATGAACGATTTAATATGTACATTCATCATTATTTGCAGTCGATTTGCCGCCATTTGTCGGGTAGCCCGAGTCGCATGAGTCACTAGGGTGACGGTTACATTGTTGTAATTTGTTCCTAGAAACGGCGATTATTCGTGACTCGACGAATTGCATCATCGTGGCAAGTATAAATTAAGTCGCTCTTGAACTTGGACACGAAATCTGCATTTTCGAAAAACATATTCCGATCGAAATCTGTCGAGACTGATAGCATTAACTTAAAAGAAAAATTGCAGAAAATTCTGTCATGTGCGTACAATAAATTCTCCCTAATCGACGCTCAGAAAAATGGACAATTCGGGAAAAGGAGACACGATTATTCGAGCCTTGCGGCTCGTTTTTTATAGTTGCCGATGATCGGTGACTGTAAAAAGGAGCCGTAACGGTTCGAACAATCGTATCTCCTCTTCCGGAATTGAGCGTCAATTAGGGTGAATTTACTGTGCCGACGCGGCGGCAAATAAACATACAGAACAAAAAAATATTACACGAGAGAAAAATTGTTGCAGACACTTCTGTGCTCGTGCCATTTTTAATTCGTTCCTTTCATGTTTCGGGTGCTTCAAAATACAAAAGGCTATAGCGGAATATATTGCCGTCGAGTGCACCCGCGTCTCGCCTGAAATACAAAAGTGAACAATTACCACGGCAAATGTATCTTGGCACGGAGCAGCTGACGCAAATCGTAGATGAATACGGCTATCAGTGAATGGAAATCTCGACTGAATGCTGCGAATTTTATGGATATTAAAACACACGCTGCACGCCCTAGTTTCGCTCGCATGTCTTCGATGACGAACGATCCCGGATAGTGGCGTGCATAATTAATACCTTGACATGGCATTAAAATAGCAGCGACAGCGTGTCCCGCGAAGACGATTCCGCCGTCAATGTATCAGGCGAACGCTGTGCACAACCGTCTTAATTAGATCTAATTTCTTGAAACGGGAGACAAGAGGCGGCAGCAATTGTTCCCGCAGCAATTGTTCGCCCGTACAAAAAGGTTCCGTTCTATTGAATTTTCTGCGATTGCGTTTGCATGGCGTGCATGCACACCTGCGTTCGAAAGTTTCGAAGCAGTTTTGCGATTTGTCTTCCACCGTATCCGTCATTGTGAAGTGTACAATGGTACAGGCAGCGCTGTTCTCGCTGTTCTATAGCGAGCTGCTTCCGTTCGGTCGTGCGACGAGTAATTAAATCTTCTCCTTAAAATAAAGTCATTGTTGTCGTACCAAATGTAATCGTGCTCGGAACAAAACGAAGAAATTGATGATCTTGCGTTCGGATCAGATTTTTTTCGGCGTTATTCGAATTTAAAATTTATATATGAATAGCGCGATAACATCTACAAATTTATTTGGAATAATTAATATAATAATTGATAAGATTGTGTAGCATTCGAAAGAACCAATACAGGAAATTCTGTCTAATTGACGCTCAGATTGTACACAAAAATGAACAATTTGGGAGCAGGTGATACGATTATTCGAGCCGCAAGGCTATAGCTTATAGTTGTTGGCAATCGATAACTATAAAAACGAGCCGCAAGATTATTAATATATATAAATATATAAAATTATTATTATTATAATTATTAGTTATTATATAATTAGTTAGTATATTATAATTATTAGTTATTATATAATTAGTATAATTATATTAACTAATTCGTATATATATATATATATTATATATCATAATAATATTATTACATATTATATATCATAATAATATTATTATATATTATATATCATAGTAATATTATTATATATTATATATCATAATAATTTTATTATATATTATATATTATAATAATATTATATATTATATTCTTATACATAATATTATTATAATTCGTATATATATATATTAATAACTAATTCGTATCTCCTCTTCCCAAATTGTCCATATTTGTATAAATTACTTTGTATAAGTGTCCAAGTCGAGCATCGATCAGGGTGAATTCACTGTTCAGTAATGTCTCCCTTACTGACGCTCAGATTGTGCACAAAAATGGACAATTTGGGAAGAGGAGATACGATTAGTCGTGCCTTGCAACTCGTCTTTATAATTGTTGGCAATCGATAATCATAAAAAACGAGCCACAAGGCTCGAACAATCGTATCTCCTTTTGCAAAATTGTCCATTTTTGTGAACAATCCATGCGTCAATTAGAGAGACATTACTGTATCTTGGATTTCGAAGCTCTAATAGAAATAAAAGCTGTAATAAAAATCCCGGCGATTCGTCACGCGTGAAACGTCGCTTCGATTCTTTTGAACGCAACTGTACGTACGTATGCATAAAATCCGCAAGTTTAATTGCGATCAATACCGTGCGATATCCGATGTATGTATGCAAGTATTCTTGCATGCTCCCCCGTTCCCCTCCCTTTCGCCGAATCGATATCCACATGTTTACGAAAGGACAGCGAATATATTTTGTAACCGCGATCGCCGATCGACAGGGTGTTCCTATTTGGAAAGCATCGATCGGGGAAACGAACAAACACCGTTCCGTGCGCGCGCGACCGCGGGTGCTGGGGGTGTTATTCGAACGAAAAGGGGCTCTTTACAGTTCTCGTGGCATTCGTTTCGGCCTTCGCCGGTATACCAATCGATTTCTGCCGAGCCTGCACGCGCGGGCGACGAAACTTTTAGTCCCGCGGAAATACAGTCGGACAAATTCGTGACGTATGAATGTTCTACGAGTACAACGATCGTTCGCGAATCTGCATTATTCACCGGATCGGAACCGTCGTCGACGCGAATCCGATCCTGAAGGATCTTTCAAGGATCCTGATAGATCCTGAAGGACCCTTCGAAATTCGTCGCGCTCGCGTCGCGGAAGCAGAAAGTTTTTCGTAAGCAGCGCGCCCGTGCATTATCGAACGACGAAGTTATTCGAGTGGCTGGCCCTAAACTATTTATGCTTCTCTACAGTGTTCCCTGCGCCCTTGGCACTCTGTGCATACTTCCGATCCGATGCGACGTTCGTCGGATCGTCGTGCATTTTCATCGGCTGCGCGCGTAATTCGTGCACCGAACGGAAGCGCGATCCGAAAAAGAATTAAATTATTATTCTGACGAAACCGTGAACCGTACATTTTGGTAATTAACCCTCGACTATTATTGTCAGTTTATTATACCGCCACTAATCGCTAATTCATATGTTGCGATAACATAATTCTAAGAAAAATGGTATTTAAAAGAACGTTCTCTATGCACTTGCTTTTATTCGATCAAAATCTCGGACCCCTTCGTTATCGATACGCCTAATAAGAACGATTAATTGTCAGCTTTTATTTACCATTTTGACGTCAATAATAACGCAATGAATACTAGCGGTCCACGAGACATTTCTGATCATTCGAAAAACGAAGCCTTCGATCAATAAAATCATTTCTAAACAAGCGAGAACCAGAAAAAAGCAGCCACATTAGGAATTCTATGAAGCGAATATAGAGAATATTCTCACTGGCAATCCGTAAAGAAATCAATAAAGTTCATCGCAGAGTGTTTCTAGCCTTGCCTGAACGGCGAGAAATGCTCGCGGTGTTCCAAATATTGTCGAACATCCTGAAAAAAGTCGAATTAGTGGACGAGTAGAAGAGGTTTTAAGGTCGGCAGAATGGCGATTACGTAAGTTCGAATGGGTGTAGCGGTCGAGGGTTGACACGGTGTGTGTTAGCTCTTGAAATCTGCTTACCAAAAACCACGCGAAGGCTAATCGATATACTTCGATCACCGTGTGTGCGTGTGTGCTACTTCAGAGATCGTTTCATTCGCTTTCGGAGCGAATTCGTGCGTTTTCCACGGATCACTTTCGAGGCCCGTTGCTCCGGACGCATTGATCTAATCGCGGCGATCAATGGCGAATCGATCGTTTGGCACGGCCAGCTGATTCCGCACTGAGGAACCGTTTCGGTCCACCGGTTTCGAGCACTGCGCAACGACGAGGATCCGCGCGGAAACCGCGCTCGGAGCACAGACTATCCCGAGATCCCGTGCCATTTTCCCGGCTCGATCATTTCCCACGGGCTCGATCATCGAGCATGGCCGATCGCGGAATCGTTTCCACGATTCGCCGGAATTTTTCCCTCGGAGTTGCTCGAACAGGCTTCGCGCGCGTTCACCCGACCGGAGCTGGGACACGAAATCGGCCGCGGACCCGCGAGACGCGATCGGAGATCCTCGATCCGCACCGGCCGAAAAAAATCATTCGAATTCGCCCGATCCGTCCCGACAACCGTATCGCTTCGCACTATTACCGCTGGTCATATTATGCGGGTTGCCTGGCTACGCCGCACGCGATTCCGGGCGACGCGACGTCGTTGCCGCCCGGCTCGGCGCGGCGCACGCCGCGAGGCGTCGCGACGCCTTCCACGAACGCCAGGACGAAGCGGGATAGCCGACCACTGACGTGGAACTAGGACGACGACGGGACGAACAGGGCCAAGGTGTGCACCCCGAGCCGAGCCGAGCCGCGCCGCCACCGAGGATCAGGCCTTCGATATCTTCCCTACCCCCGGCCGATTAATCCTTTCAAGACGGTATCAATCTAGGACACTGCCAGCCGTATCTTTGCATTCGCGATACGATTCGTTTCTTTTTCCCCCGTTCCGTCGCCGCCTACGCGCCGATCGATATCGATGGAAAATATGGCAGACGATCCGAGTCGTTGCACCTGTATTCCGCTCTCTCTCGATCCAGAATGTCGGATTTTGGTGCCGTTTTTTTTTCTTTCTCGAGCGGACAGATGAGTGATTATGTGATTTAGCGACCTTCTCTTAAGCGCGATTATTTTTCTCCGGGCATTTTAAACCGCTTTATTTTGGTGTTATAGGGAAATATAAATTGGGGGTGCTTGAAAATGTAGTGTTTTTTTTACTGGGTTTTCCGATGGAACGTGAAATTAGCAAATTCTTTGTGGTCTTGCAGAATGGCAGAATCTTTGATATTTTTAACAATTTTTTTTCTTTCTCGAGTGCACAGATGAGTAATTGCGCGATTTAGCGACCTTCTCTTAAGCGCGATTATTTTTCTCCGGGCATTTTAAACCGCTTTATTTTGGCATTAAAGGGAAATATAAATTGGGGGTGCTTGGATTGGTAATGCTCTCTTTACTAGTTTTCCCGATGGAACGAGAAATTAGCAAATTCTTTGTGATGCTGCAGAATGGCAGGATCTTTGATATTTTTAACATTTTTTGTGTGAAATGTCGCTCTGATTTAGTTCCGGAGTTATGTCCAAAAAAAATGTTGCTACTGCTACATTGAATTTTGCTTGTACCGTGGTGTACACTTATTTATTATTTATATTTATATACTATATATTTATATTTATATTTATATTTATATTTATATTTATATTTATATATTTATATTTATATATTATATCTATATATTTATATTTATATATTTATATATTATATTTATATTTATTATTTATCACTATATGCAATTATAGATCCAAAATAACTTTTACATTGGCACTGATATCAGAATAAAAAAAATTAACAAAATACTATATTTGTATATTTCAACTTTCTACTATTTCTAATACAGAAACATACAAATATGATATCTTGTTAAGCTTTTCTTTTTTTAAATATACAGCGAACGTCACACTGTCCTTTTAATATAACTTTATCGTCAACTGTGTCTACTTCTTGCTGGTAGCGACACATCGCACGTGCGGACGACTGTCAATAACGTTATGTCATGCGCCTAGAAATGATGCTATTATTTTACGTTTGGCAGTTAAGATCTTTACTGATTGGTACCTGGCTATCTTTTACTTAGACAATAAGTAGTATTATTAGAAGTTATAAACAAACGTTTGAACATTGCGTGCGAGCAAAAAACATATCAGTCGAAGTGCATCCTCCGAGCGAGTCGGTGTGTGCCAGTTTTATGAGAGCGAAACTGTTTTATTATTTCCGATGGAGTGAGTTTCTAACGTTTACATATTCCAACGTTTCATTATCGCGTTATTATAGTACGATTAACAGAGCGTTAATTTCTACGCTCTTCAAGCTCTTAAATAACGTTTCAAGAAATGCTCCACAAAAATGCAATGTATATATTATGTATATAGAATCTAATAATATAATATATTGATTATACAATAATTATAAATATATGATATTATTAGATTTTATATATATATATAAAATTATATTTTATATAATATTTTTTATATAATATTATATATATACATTATATTATATATATGCATATAATATCTATATATTATATTTATTATTATTATTATTATTATTATATATATATGTTTATATATAATTATTATATTATAATTATAATAATATATTATATCCATACTTATACCTATCTACAAAATAAAAACTATATTTCTAAAATCCTCTACAGACAACCTAAATTTCGGTCCAGATCCCATAACATTTGCATAAACATCAGCTGCCTGGTTATAACTCATTCGGCAAATAAGCGGCTCATACATTGGTCTCGTTTAGAGCCCGGCAATTCTAGCGTAAACATCGAAACAGCAAGTTCAGATTAAGTGAGCTATGCGCGGAAAATAGCGAGTGACTATTATCATTAGACAGCGGTTATTTTATGAGGAATAGAAATTGTCCAAATCATTTCTAAGAAACGGAAGTGACCTCGCCATTGACCTCGAAGTCGATGCGACATAAAACTTTGGAGAAAAAAGAAAGGGAAAAGTTTGAAGAAGTGTAAGATATAACAGAGGAATATTCTGAAATATATATTTATATATGTTTACATGTTTTTGGATCACTCATTCGCTTTTTCTCATAAGTACATAAAATCCACAATCTAATTATCATCCATCGCATGTACTAAGTGGTATCATGTAGACGCCGACAGTGACCATAGTTGCTCATCGTTTACATACGAATGGCATTTTATGGGAAGCGATTATGCGAGATAGAATATTGTCGGACAGCTGATTAACAAATATGAATATAAATAATAACATATAATAATATAACATATAATAATATATATAACATATAATAATATATATAACATATAATAATATATATAACATATAATAATATATATAACATATAATAATATATATATAACATATAATAACATATAATAACAATAAATTCTACTACAAGAGTTACTATAAGTTCAAGAGCTTGCTACCTACAGAGTCGAATAAAATTCCGAATAAACATTATTTCCTGTTCCTTGAATGTCTCTGCTTCCTCGAAACGTAAAACTTGGGACATCGTTAAATGCGACAATGGCGCATAATTACGCAATTCCGATTATTGTGTGATTGAAGTTCAATCGGGAATCTACGTCGTCGAATTTAACAGCTTCGTTTGCATTCCACAAATGATTTCTCGTTATTTTCACGACGTGACCAACGCGTACGTTTTTCACTACTAGGTACAGACCCGAATAAAAATATTTGGCAAAGTGAAATGAAATAATATTCATCAAGATTTATTCGACGTCGCGGAGTTGGAACATCTATTGAAATTAGAGTTATTTATGTTGTGCTAAAGAAAATTATTAATTGAAGCAGTATTTTCTTAAGGTGTACTGAACATAGTTATTCGAGATAGCGTTTCATGCGCCGAGAGTTCTATTAATTACTTGAAATTCTATTTCTTATAATTAATATTTATGAGAGAAAATGAACCTATAGAAAAAATACAATCACATA